TGATGAAGAAGGAAAGCAGCATCCTGTCGTATTACAGGCATGAAGTCTCCGAAACTTTCGGCGGATAATTAGAAAAGTGGGTTAAACTGTCCGTTCTTGCGAGCCCTTGCAACGACGCAAAATGGTGTTGCGTGTTTCTGCATCAACACAGATGGAGAAGTTTATGTATTTAGCAGAGACTTTTGTCCAAAGCGACTTACAAGTGATAATTGGCATGTTGCCCTTGAGGCTAACAACAACAATAACAACAACAACTTGACATCAATCATGGAGAGGAGGGAACAAGGAGTGGACAGTAGAGAGGGTGGACAGGTGCAGGGAGGGTGCTAGTTTAGAAGATGCTCTCTGAAGAGCAGGGTCTTCAGGAGTTTCTTGAAAATTGAAAAGGAAGCCCCTGTTCTGGTAGTGCTTGGTAGGTCATTCCACATTTTTGGAACAGTGCATGAGAAGAGTCTGGATTATCCTGAGCGTGGTGTAGGCATTGCTAGCTGACGACTTTGTGATGACTGGAGCGGCCGGGCCGAGACGTAAGCCTTTGCAAGAGGATTCAGGTAGATGGGAGCCGTACGATCTCTGACTTTGTATGCTAGTGTTAGCAATTTGAATTTGATGCGTGCTGCTAGCGGTAGCCAGTGGAGCTCAATGAACAGAGGAGTGACGTGTGCTCTTTTTGGCTGATTGAAGACCAGACGCGCCGCTGCGTTCTGGACCATTTGAAGAGGTCTCACAGTACAGCCTGGAAGACCAGTTAGAAGGGCACTGCAGTAATCAAGGCGGGAGACGACAGTAGATTGCACCAGGAGCTGGGTGGCATGTTGTGTTAGGTATGGTCTGATCTTTCGTATGTTATACAGCACAAAGCGGCATGAAGGAACAACAGAGGCAACATGATCTTTAAAGGTCAGGTGTTCATCAATCACAACACCCAGATTTCGAACTGCCTTTGAAGGAGCCAGAGATAGGAAGTCATTTTGAATTGAGATATTGTGCTGTATGGATGGTTTTGCTGGGATGACAAGTAGTTTAGTTTTAGAGAGGTTGAATTGGAGATGGTGGGATTTCATCAATTTTGATATGTCAGAGAGACAGTTTGATATTCGTGCAGATTCAGTGTGGTCGTCCGGTGGAAATGACAGATAGAGCTGGGTGTCGTCTGCATAGCAGTGGTAGGAGAAGCCATGTGATCGAATGATCTCACCCAGTGAGGTGGTGTATTTGGCAAAGAGAAGAGGTCCTAGTACAGAGCCCTGGGGGACTCCTGAGGCAAGATGGTGCACGGTAGAGGATTGTCCAAGCCAAGATACACTGAATGATTGTCCTGTGAGGTACAATTCAAACCATACAAAGTATGAATTATAGGCTCGATACACGGGAGGCGGCACACGAAAAACGTGCATGTTAAATACTACGCTTGTGCATGTGTCATGCACGGGCAAGCCAGTGACGCGATCCCAGAAAGTAAAAAATTTCTACTTTTTATCGCTGTTGCTCAGACAAGGACCAATCAGTGGAGGTTTTATTGACTAACCTATGAGTGGACAGGATGCTGCTCAGTACACCTCCGGGCATACATGAAGGAAAAGTAAATACTTACCATGTCGGATTTCCCAGAGCCTCCCGTGTGTCAGGTTATCAAAGCGACAGCAAAAAGTTTCACTGACCACAGTCGTTTATCACCTCCCACATGTCAAGCCCATTAAGCTTTATTAGTGCTTTGTGGGGCAGTTATATTTGTCACTTGTTAAAAATAGGTTTGTTTAAAAAAAAGCCTAAATGCGACTAGCTGATCCTGTTTTATGATATGAAGTAGATTATTTATAATTCATATTCTCTTTAAGTCCCTCCCCTGGCCTCTCCAACAAAATGAATCCTCAACACTAGTCTAGAGCGTTGACCGATAGAAATGCATATCCACAAGAGGGAGCTGTCGATCAAAGATAACGTGCTCCAGTCGCCAGTATGGACTGCGGCGTGATGCCGGACAAAGCTTAAAGTTTTCAATAGAGCAACCAAAACAAGTACCAAAGCTACAGATTACTCGACCGCCCTACAATTTAAACTATTTGAAAATCCTTCAGCAAAACACACCATGACATGTTCATGTCAGTCAAGTAGAATTTATTTACATTTGAGGCCCTTTTTAAAAATGGAGGGAGCTTTGGGAGCTACAAGGGCTCAAAACTAATGAAGAGTTGGCAAAGTTTTTTTGGACAGGTTAATACTAAATCGTTTAATGTATTTTAGAGAATTGTTACCAAAATTTTATTTAAACAAAACAAAACAAACAAAAAAACAGCAACAGCATTTACCATAGGTTAATATGGTACTAGCTTGAATGCTAACTCGGCCTGCATTGAATTAATGTCAGTCTGCAAATGTCAAGCTAACTGTGGACAAGGAGCGAGTGGAACAAAAAGGGATTCATCTTTAGTTTATTGGAGCTAAGTTAGTATTTGTTTTAGCTCTCTGTTGACTGCTTTTCCTGCTCTTGCATGGTAAGAGGCGTTGCTTACTGCTCCTTCCAGGGTCAGGCCTACAGCTGTGAAAATTTCTAAATCTCCTCTTCTTCCCCTTGATGATGTCGCACTACAGACCCCAGTGTTAAATATGTTGACTATAAAAATGTTTTTCTTTTTTAATTTAATTTCTGACTGTGAATGGTTCGTTGGTATGTGGAGTGTTCCACTGTGTGACATTGGCTTACACCAGTGGTTCTCAATTAGTGGGGGGCGCCCAACCGGAGGGACGCAATAGGTGGGCAGACCTCTCCCTGCTCAGAGAATCCCCACACAGATGCCAGATACAACACACTCCCACCCCTGCTCTGGGATACCCTGATAAGATTATCACCCCCCACCCCCCCACCAGACATTCTGCGATGGAGCAACTCCCCCCCGGAAAATGTGCGTCTCAAAAAGTTACATGTATCCTGGGGCTGGGGGCATCACAGAGGATGATTGAGAAATACTGACCTCTAGTAAGGTAAGACCTTAATAATGTTATTATTAATTACATCAATGTTTCCCAGTTCTGGTTGGTAAAGTTCATTGCCTCGCATGTTTGAAATGTTCCCCTGCTTCACCACACCGGATAAATGAGCCGTTAACAGGCTTCTGCTGACCTTGAAAATATGCTGAGGAGGTAATTCAATTATTTGAATCAGGGGCATTGAAGCAGGAAAACATCTAAAACATGCAGAACCACTGTCCCCGAGGACCCCAATGTCCAGGGCTGGGGAAGTCTAGCAAGAGAAAACGGGACTTCCTACTTTTTGTATGATTCTTGAAGACGTTTTGCATCTATTTAATATTTTTAATCAAGATTGAAATGTGCAACAATCCCAGATCTATCTTGCAAAAACAAGTCACCGTGATTTAGATTCTTTCTGTATGACTCAAGACAGCTTTGTCTAAACATCACTGAAGGTAAATTAGACTTTGCTAGAAGCATCCTTTTTGTGTGATTCCACTCTGAAGCTGTTTGACACTTTTCCCCTGGCCTAGACTGAGAAATGGCTGAAAACCTGCACAGTGAGTTTTTTTTGAGGTCAGGACACAGACTGCTCAGAGCGCATACCACATCTCAATCTTTCCTTCCAGACTCTGCATACACCCCCTGTAGCAAATTAGCCTCTGAATAATTAAGCTAATTAGACTTAGACTGACAATAGCTAAATGCTAATTAGAGCCTAATTAAGAGAAATGAATCCACAGCTGTATTTATTCTCTGCCATCCAAAGTGCACTGGCGATAAACAAGCTCACATGTCAATCTGATACTAAGTGAAATGATTCTGAATTGTATGTTGTGCGACTGACTGTTTGGTGATTATACAGTAATTATGTATGTTGTTTGGTGGCTCCACATGCTTGGGAGAGAAGTTCAGGGTGAGATAACAGATTGTGACATTTGCCTCACAATTCCATGGATGCTCTGTAGATTAACAATTAGGTTAATGAAACATATGTGTCATGGATTACCACAGCTGAATGTTTGAACGGTCACAAAGAAAACACAAAAACCAGGTGAGTGTTTTTGCCTGTTATTATGTTTGCTAGGAAAATATCACTATTTTTGCATTGTTTGAATATTTTTCCACTATGATAAAAAACCACAACCCCAGATTTCCACCGGATGCATAATTGTTGCGTAACATCTAAAGTGCAAAATGCAGCTGTTTGCTGCTATTATAGTTAATGACTTTATTTCCACTGAGGGCACAGGGGCCCGTCACAGAAGCGTTGTGCTATCGTGGTTAATGTGTGTGTAAAACATCTGGCAACTTTTAAAATAAAAACATATGTGCAGATTTCCAATCTCTTAACGATAAAAATATAAATCATTAACTGTGACACCGTTTAATCCAGACCATTTGGATGCTGCCAAATTTTTTCTTGCTCATTATTGCATGAACTGGCTAAATCACATGTGATCTTAAAACTCTCCTGTCTTGTGATTTACGGGACCAGCGGTGTATGGCATCATCGCTGCACATTAGAATCGCTCCCAGCAGAAAGAGATGCACCACTGAGGACGCAGTGGAAACTGAGCTATTACGTTATGAGCTACGCTAGCCCTAACCCAACCTAGCAAGTTCATAATCAGAAAGTACTTTTCGTGATAGTTTGTGGTTTATTTCATAAAACAAATAAACAGTTATTTCAGATGTGCACAATTTCTATCTTATTCTATTATTTTTTATGTTTGTGAAATGGACTCTAAGGGAGACCATTTAATCTCATTACAACAATGCTGCATACTTGCAGTCGTGGTTTTGTCAACACAATTTTCCAGAATTATTGATGGCGCATAAAATAAAATAAAATGCAAGCTGGCGCATTTGTTCAGAATGCAGATAAGGCACCATCTGCAAATTAAGGTGGAATGTTATCACTGAAAAGAAAATGCTTGTGCATTGTTACATTCTGCTATTTTATACCCTGGGAATTACTGCAATGCCTTGTATGAAATGTTATTGTGTTTTCGTTTATTGCCACTTACATTATACGTTTCCAGTTTGACTCGGTTTTTAAATATGTGGGTTGAGAAGTTGGCTTTCTGGAAGACTTCATCAAATGCAGTCTCATCCTAGGGAACGTGCACAGAAAAAACAAAAACAACTAAACACAAAATATGGAACAAAGTTTAGAAGAGACACTCCAATTCTTAGACCTCCTGGTTAATCGGGCCATGAAAACCACGTGTGTGTGTGTGTGTGTGTGTGTGCGCGCGCGCGTGCGTGCGTGCGTGCGTGTGTGTGTGTGTGTGTGTGTGTCTCACTGTGTCTCTGAGCTGTCCCAGCTCTGCTGCACTGCAACCCAGCAGGACCTCGGCTGTCTCCTGGAAGCATGTCACCCACTGGTTATCCCAGCAGTCTGCTAAGTTGGCCTGAGATTCAGACAGCCAGAGAAGATGGAAGAGATTACTTCTGTATGTTTGCAAGTGTTGGAAATCACCGATGATCATTAATGACACTCACAGAAAGTAAGAGTCTGTATTTAAAGTTTGGGAACTCCTTGTTGCACTTTCCGCAGTGGTACATGCCGTTGTTCTGGTCTATGACCTTCTTGTAGCAGTCTGCAGATGGACACGCCTGATACAGACAACTCTCCTTACGAATGAACACCACGGTCGCCACGCAGCTGAAATAATCTGCCTGACAGGAAACAAAAATAAAACAGAGCAAATGTAAAAAATGGGAGGTTTGGACAGTAAAAGAAACAAGCGACAGCTGTTTATTTACAAGCATCTTCCCCCTCTCTCACACACCAATGAGCAAAGAGGAAGTGTGGTAAATGAACAAAAATACAAGGTTTGAAAAAAAAAAATACATGAAGGCAACAGGTAATGACATCTCAGCTTCAGATCATTTATTTTTTCCTGTTTATGTCTAGCTGGATGCTTGCAGTGCTGGCAGATGTTAAAACATGAAAATATCTGTAGCAGTCCGTGTGACTGGCTCATAATTGACTTGTGTCATTAAAATTTCAGAACGCACCCAGTGGATTTCTTTTGGAGAAGCTTAGACTTCTAAAAAAAATCTGTTTGCGTGTTTTCAGTTGCAACTTCAAGGAGAAAGAAAGCTGCATAAATTAAAGCTTTTTATGGGCTGAGAGAAGCTTCTTGTGTAAAACTGTATTTGTAGGTGATAAAATATCAAGTAAACATTAACCCGTTGATGCATAATGGTCACTACAGTGGACAGGTACTCAAAATTGTTATTATTATTTATTTTTTGCTATTATGCACAGCTGTTGAAGACTTTATTGCTGGTGGACATGTAATAAATTATTTGTAAATTATTAAATGTTACAAAAAATATTTGTTGAAATGTGTTTCATTCACACCTAAAGATGAATGAAAAAAATTGTTAAAAAAATCATGTTTGAAGATTTCATAATTCATGCATCAAAGGGTTAAAATTCTGTGTATATAAGTCATTGATTTGATCATCTTTAGCAAAGGCATGTTTACGTGTGCCAGGAGAGGGAGTGAACAAACTTCACTCGGTCTGAATCAAACTTTTCACAACCAAGAAATGTTAAAGGCGTTCACAGAATGGAGCGGAACGAGACTTCTTGTTTGTTGTGTAGGAGGCAGCATCTTGCTAGATGAAAAAGATGGAAGGTGGCAGAGGCCTCGAGAACATTGTGAGTAACCACTTGTCCACAGACCAGTAAAAAAATGATAAAACGGTGGTGGGATGACGTCAGCTTCGGCACTTTGAAACACTTTCCTCTTGAACAGTAGAAGCTGACTGACTAGTTAACACCTTAATGTTCAAGACCAACACAACTTCCAGTGATGACGCTTGGATCACAGGGTTGATATCAGCCCCACTGAGCAGACACACAGCAACATTAAAGGGGTCTCTGAACCTAAAACCACATTACCTTGTTATTGTTGAATATGCAGCTTTGGGTATCAAATGTACCAAAAAAGCTCCTACCTGCTTTCCTATGTAAATTAGTAACAATGTAAGAGCCACAGAGAAATGGTTTGTTCTGAGAAAAGCTGGTTTAAACGCCTGGTATGCCACCTTACATATATATGAATATATAGGCTAGCCAAGATCCATAGACAGATCTATTGTCTCCGAATGCTAAAACCAGAATAACGAACAACGTAACGTACTGACCATTACAGTTGTCAGTCAAGTAACATCCCGCCCACCAAACTGGTACAGCACTGTGATTGGCTCAAACTGAAGATAGGAAGTGGCTGTTCCAATGGAGCGTGGCCAGACTGACATGTAGAGCAAAATCATTTTCTGCCACGATCTGTCCAGATTTCTAGGCTATTGATTTAACACAACATAAGCTTAAACACACCCTTGAATTTGCATGTCCAAACCCCCTTTAATGTCTGCAACTTTGGTGGCAGTAATGCTAGCTAACAACGCTAGCCCGAGCTAAGGCTAACGTCCTTTGTTGGACAAAAGGAAAACAAAGAAAATGCCTGAGCACACTTGTAACATTCCAGGATATAATGGGCTTTTCCAGACTTTGAATGAACACCAGAAGGATGCCTATTGGGTTATCCGGATACTGTACACAACCTCTGCACTGGAAGTGTTACGTTTTGATGCTGCTGCTGATATTTATAGTTGAACCACATAGTTACATGTAAATTGCTGTCAATCTCTGTTGAGCTACACTCATGATGGTATAAAAGTTTTTAAGATAAAATGGTACATCAGCTGACAGTAGTTTTTTAGAGCTGTTAAAAAATAGCAGCAACACACTTTGGTCTTGGCTGAGTTCAGACAAGCCATTAGCTCAAGAGTCCTGAAGGACGTAAGCGCTATCGCTCAGAACAGAGGCCTTTCACAAAGATATCCAAGGGTAGGATTTTAATTATTCACTGCTTTTTTTAAACCAAAATACACATCAAAATAACTTATATATTTTTCTATACAAAAAATAGATTAAAGTATCTTTTCCCCCTTTTAGTCTTTATGTTTGCATCTTAAATTCATATCTCAAGTGTCATGGTGTATATGGTAAAATGATAAGCAGACAGTTTTAAGAATAGCCTTCTTGTGATAAAAAAGAATGCACTAAAAATTAAATAAAGATAAACTCAGATGAAATTTGGAATTGTGTGCAAAACTGTTGCCAACGAGTCTGTCCAACTGCTAGATGCATGCTGTGTACACATCTCTATTTGACTTCCAGACAATCTTGGAACAGTTTGAAAAAAGGGAGCAGAGGGACTTTGAGTTTTCTTTTGCATAAAAGATGCTGGATGAAATGAATTTTCTCTCTCTAATACAAGTGCACATACACATCACTGGGTGTACGCAAAGGCACAAACACTCGCATGTCCGATGCAGATACAAGCTAAACTTGCTCTGCTGTGAGTCTGTAAACATGTAAAAAAATTAAAATGCAGCGATGCTGCTGTAATTTAAACACATATTAGCACCTAACGCGGCAGAACTCACACTGGAAAAAATCAACAGCTAAAAAGAAAGAAATGTTCCTTCTTGGGGGGAAGTCTATTTCTCTCATCCTGTAGAGAAACACGGCATCCCATTTACATAAATATAAATGTAAAGAATTCACTGGAAAAGGCTAAATCATGCACGCTGCCTTGAACATGACACATTCTTCCTACATTTAATGGAGTGTTTTCTCTTTGACAAAATGCTGGAATTACAGAGAAGATCTAAAGTGAAATGCTTTAAAATGCACAGTGAACAACAAGCTAAAGCTGGGCCAGACTCATTACTAATTTCTGTCCTAAATGAGTCTATCAAAGAGTTTTTCTAGGAAGTCAGCCAAAATCACACACTGACTGAGCAATGTTGTTCCTTCGTTATACAGCCCACGGTTTCTGTAAAGTGTTTAGTAAGAGTATTGAATGTGAAAAGGCCATTGTGTCTCCTGCGTCCCTCAAGAGGGGGCTGACGCTGCGCTGTGTGCCCCACAACCTCTGCATATACCGTCAGACTTCTTCTCCCTCTAGCCAACGCTGATTCACAGCCTCATAAATCTGTCCACCCATCCATCTACCAGAACCAATGCCACACACTAAGAGCCCTTCCAAAGCTCTTGCTGTATTCTATATTTCTTTAATTAGGAGCTTTACCCGTTAGCAAACCCCCCTCCCCCTCGACGCCTCACTCCCATATTTCCATCAGAGTGCCTGTATCATCACATTTTGCAGACTCGGGCAGACTAGAAGACTAGAGAGGTTGGGAGGAGGTAGACAAGTAGCATAAGGGGCTCGTTGAAGGATGCCACAGTCAACGTAAGACTAGAGAACAGAAGATCTAAACCACGATGGTTACGTCTAAATAAAAACCAAGCTAAATAAATAACACTGAATTTTCACATCGTCTCTCCCACTCTGATGTGTGTGTTTGGGTCTTCATTTGTCTGTAATGCTGGCAAAATATCTCAAGAACCACATGGTGGACTTTGATCAAAGTTTCAGAGAAAAATAAACCTATGGATGTACATCTGAACAAAATAACCTTTATATTCGAGCTGATTCAAGATGGCGTTCCCAGCTAACTGACAGTAGGAAACGCACAAATGGCTTCGACTGAGTCAAGCTAACCGCTATCGAGCTAACAGGATAGTAGCTTAGAGTAGCTCACAGCACAAACCTTAACAACTATGGCCTCATTCACACAGCAAGATAATTGTGCATTTCTGGAAGTACATTAGTATGTCCGTGTCCCTTATGCATACTAATAATGCATAAGCTATGCTGCATGGTTCTGAAACCCAAGCTTTCTTTTTATTCAGTTTTTAGTGGTTGACGTTTACAGTAATAGCTTATTGCCTTTGTGTGTTTACCTGTAATCTTGTTATTATTTTTCTTCCATTTCTCTACATGTGCTCCTGTAGCAAGTGAATTTCCCGTCTGTGGGAATAATAAAGGCTATTCTATTCTAATTATGTTGATTCTTGATCTGATTCTCTCTTTCCAGCAATTTGAAGGAACTCCCCAATTACCTAAATATAATCTTATCAGATATTCCTGCTGTGTGTGGTCTGCTCGGAAGTCTGTCGGGACTGCTCCAATCATAAATCAGAGATACTCAGCAGGTTGGATTGTCTTAGTGCACACCACGCACACTGCAATATTTAACTAAGGACAAATGAGTGTGCAACCTGTAGGTAACCCTCAGCCATGTTTTTTTTACTCCAGAGTCAAGTTTGATCACAAATGGTTATGCTAAATTTCCTGTCTGATCAGGGTAAGTTTGCCTGTGAAATCAATTAGTGTATGGTGTGTAGTTTGCCATGTGGCTGGACACCACACCTTGTAGGACTATGATAAATGATCCGCACTTGTATAGCGCCTCTCAGAGTAAGGACTCCAAAGCGCTTTACACTACAGTGTATCATTCATCCATTCACACACACATTCATACACTAATGGTGATGAGCTACGATGTAGCCACAGCTACCCTGGGGCGCACTGACAGAGGCGAGGCTGCCGAGCCACCGATCCCTCCGACCACCACCAGCAGGCAAGGTGGGTTAAGTGTCTTCTTGCACAAGGACACAACATCTATCCATCTTCTGCTTATCCAGGGTCAGGTCGCGGGGGCAGCAGCCTAAGCAGAAAGGCCCAGACTTCCCTCTCCCCAGCTCCTCCAGGGAAATCCCAAAGCACTCTCACTGTTTTATCCATGATTTTTTTTAATTGCTCAGTTTGAGGTATGTCATTGTTTTGACCATTTTAAATCCTGCCATGTGAACTGGGCCTTAAAACCTGCATAGGGTCTTGTGATATGATGTGACCTGCATGTGATTTCTTCAACAAAAAGAGATCTTAGTTTAAAACTCTGGCATATGCATGTGTTTAATCTTCATTCTGTATCTCTGTATAATAACCCTGACAGTGCTATGGTAGGACTGCATAAGCAGACTGAGTTACAAATGAACACACTTACCAACAGATCAACACACCTCCTTCATTCTGAAAATGGTTTCTATTCTTATCACACCAAACCCTGTGTCACCTTCTGGCACCTAAATGCAATTAAAATGTGTGTGTGGAGGGGCAACCAAGTGAAAATCCACTTCACATAATCGACCTGGTTGCACATGCCAACTTTTAATGCTTGTCCCATAACCCAAAACACACACACACACCCACACACACACACACCATTTCCACACACACACACGACCTTGAATAACAATGGAAATGAGTTATGACGCTGAATCAGATTTGTTCAAACCTAAAAAGTTCTGATTCAGTTACTCTAACCTGGTCTGTAGCCTCAAGAATAAATGATGGACAATGATGTTCTTCTTTTTCTGTTCAATTACAGAAACAGTTGGGGGCAAGAGCAGAGCGATAGAACAAGAGAAAAGAGGACAAGACGAAAAGGTTTAAAAACAGTGAAAAGGGAGGATTTCTAAACTCATTTTATTCTTTGAAACCCTTCAGGTGTTTTATTTTCACTTGCAGTTTATGTTCAGTCTTGATGCTTTTTTCCATCATTAACAGGTTTTTAAGTGACATGAAGTAAAAGTGGCAGCATCTTGCTTTTGTACTCAAGTTTCACCAACCTATATTTTCCATCGCTTTCAGTCTTTATGCCCTTTAGGCTTCCTCCAGCGCATAATTAGAAATTTTCATTAGAAAGGACATTGATCTGGAAGCTATCCATAATCTACTTCCAATTAAATGTAAGGAAAGAGGGGAGACTAATCTGAGATGAACCAAATTAATTAGATGGAAAGTTTAGGAAGTAGTGCACACCACTTGGATGCACTCTCCGTCTGGTTTAAAGCAGAATTATTTTGGATAATTTGCTAAAATGATTACAAAGTTCAGTTTGAGGCTTCTTGCAGGCTCCTCTAACAGTGGGACGATATACTCGTGTGCTTCATGACACTTCAATCCACACCGGGGGAGTCTCAGCTGCTGAGCGGTGGCATCTCTGCCGGCCCCATTCCGCACTGGACTCGCAAGATCATGAAATTCCTCGAGGCTTCAAAGGTCGCATTTTTTTATGCCACCCACCATTAAACCAAGAAGAGGGAGATCACGTTTGATGTCATGTATGTTGTTGTGCCCATCCAACACACTAATGCACTTCTCGAAATATGCTAGGAGCAAATAAGCCATAAGGTCACATGTTCAGACATGATCTATATAAATAAAAAATTGATTATCCGCAGTAGTCTTTTATTTTGAAAATTACCAGACATTTTACACTGAAATCGTGTGTGATTTCCTGTTTAGCCCTATGTGAACTGCAGAAATTGATGTGTCTCAGAAGCGGCTCGCGGCAAAAATGGAGCTGGACCCTATCTTTAGCAGCGCGGCGCACCGCTATCGGGGTGCGACTCAAATGTTCCGCGTCGCAGGCCAGTTTGGATCAACACATAGATTATAATGGATTCTAATTTAAAGCAACGCCGTTCTGCACCGCTGATGCCTCCAGTGTGGATCAGGCTTTACAGTAAACCTCTCACTTTTGAAATATCTGAGACTGATAACTACTGAGCATCTTTTAAAATACCCGACCACTTTGCAGTATTGAGGTTGTTTTTGTACAGAAAGGGATTTTCGGACTGATAAAACGGTGAGTCTCAAACCAGCTTGTTTGAACTAACCTCATGGTTTAATTTCCATCTGATTCCCTATAAATCCCAGGATGTGCGGCTGTAATGCATGAAAGACAAACTAAAACATCGCCAATGCTAAAGTGATTTGAGGAAAATATTAAATGTTATTCATGAAGCGATACCGTGTTCTCTCAACCAAAATCAAATAAAAGAGAAAAGTTTAACTACAATAATCAACTAAAAATGATCTCATACGTTTATCTTCATTTAACAATGTCCCGCTCCGTGTGAATGTGTGCACTCTACCTTCTCTCCATGTCCTAAATTGTCCTTCTTCATTTCACTGAATGTCTTCCAGTTCACCGCTGATGAACCGGTGGCTGGCCCGGTTTCAGTTAGCGACTGGCTGTCCAGTGCATAACCTCCTTGGTCATACCTGCAACATAGATATGTACAAGCAACATGCTGATCCTTAAGTGTGCAGGAACACGCTCATCAGACACCAAGACAAACGGGATTAGGTGCAGCATAAATGATGGTGAGTGTGGAAATGAAAGATCGTGTAGCATGAATGTGTGTTTTGCATTAAATAAATTCGATTTTTCTTTTGGAAGTAAATACAGAAGTGAAATAATTACTGCTCAGCCAGAATTGTTACCCATCATACCCATCTCAGTCATGACTGGAAAACTCTCCTATTCCCTTAACTTATTTGCAGCCATCAGGTCATTATTCTACAACATATTAGATCCGAAACTGATGCATATATATATATTTTTTTAGATCAGTCAGCTGCATGACATTGTGCAAAACCTTGCCCGCCTTCCTACAAATATATGCAGTTTATTTATCTGTGCTAAATTATTAATACATATGACTCTTGCTCTGGTTTCTGGATGAGCAATCCAATCAGGGCATCTTTGAGATGCATCAGTTTCCTTCACTTACGTATGCAAACAAGCCTTGTCCAAACAACTCAAAACAGTATGACTTTACCACAGAAACACGAGCCAGACAAGACAGCCTTTGTCTTTGTAAAATGTGCACAGAGATGTCGAAAAGAAGTGGTAAACACTTTGTCTGCTCCAGAAATAACTTCTTGCTGTCAGCATGTAGACTGGTGAGAGAATCAAACAGCCGTGGAGATCAGGGGAAAAGCTGGGGATTAGAGAAAAATAGACGCTGTGATGAAAGGAAGGGGGGCTGACGCTGTTATATTTTTTTTTACTTATTTAGCTTCTTGAATATCCAAATGAGATTTTGTATTGATTAGTCTAACAAGACTAAAGGGAACCTGGAGCAGTGGGGCCTTGCATTAAAGCCATACTTCGCAACTTTTTCATATTTTTAAACCATTTTCTTGAGCCAGTATGTGCTAAAACGACCTTTACAGGGTTAATGAAATGTCACTCAGACCCCACCGCCCCCTGTAGCCAGAATATCGCACTTGCACTTGGATTGAGGCAGGGCTATTCAATGGCGGGCCTCGAGGGCCAGTGTCTAGCATGTTTTAGTGGTTTCTCTGGTCCAACACATTAGATTCAGTGGCTGAATCACCTGTGCAGCAGCTCATCAGGCTCTGCAGAAGCCTGTTAATCACCTAATGCAGGAAACGGGCTGGAAGCAGACTGCAGCACCAGGTGTGTCAACTCAGATTTTTTCTAAATCCCAACAGACCAGACTGTCACTCTGAAGTTGCAAGTGGAATATTCTGGCCATGGGGCTGATAAGGGCTGGGTAGCCTTTCATTAACCCTGTAAAAGGTCATTTTAGCACATACTGGCTCAAGAAAATGATTTAAAAATACGAAAAAGTTGCAAAGTATCCCTTTAAATATAAAATGACATGATTTTTATCAGGTACTAACATAATTTTATATAAAAACATTCTAATAAATAAGAAAATGGTAGAATCTATTCTGATTTTGTTTAATTTATATCCTTTTTACTTCGGTCTTCATCCATGGTTTACTAATCATGACAGCATAATCAAACTCTAAATCTATTAACACATTTTTCTGCATTTTCAAGTTAAAAAAAGGACTATTATAAATATTTTGAAGACTATTTAGAAGCAATAAATAAATAAACAAAAAAAAAAAACAGCCAGCACAGTTATATTCTACCGGTGGCCAGACTTGGGAACAGCTTTAATGAGGGAATGAGTCATAACTCAAAATCCCTCCACAGGAAGAGCTAATAGGAATCCGGTTTGATGCGGCTCAACGTGTCTTTGAGTGCATGTGGCTGTAGTTCTGAGCTGGAATCCAGAAATAACTAAATGCTTTTCTTATTCCCTCAATCCAACCCCGCCTGAAGTCCCACTGAGACTCAGGTGGCACACACCACCAGTCTCCTGACATGTGATAATCAGGGCTTTACTCTTCGGTTTACTCATTAGTTTGTGTGTGAGCAGGTGCTATGTTTAGTTTTTAGATCTTAGTTTGTGATTACAAAGCAGAAAGGGCCCATTGGTATATTTCTGTTAGCTTACAGAAACAATGACATCAGTAAGTTCTTCGAACTGTAGCAGGACCAAAATCTGCAACTGTCATTCTGTCTGGGTCTGTCTGTGTGTGTGTGTGTGTGTGTGTGTGCGTGCGTGCGTGTGTGTGTGTGTGTGTGAGCGTGTGAGTGTGTGTGTGTGTGCGTGCGTGCGTGCTTGCGTGCGTGCGTGTGTGTGTGTGTGTGTGTGTGTGCGTGCGTGCGTGCGTGTGTGTGTGTGTGAGTGTGTGTGTGTGTGTGTGTGTGTGTGTGTGTGTGTGTGTGTGTGTGTGTGTGTGTGTGTGTGTGAGTGTGTGAGCGTGTGTGTGTGTGTGTGTGTGTGAGCGTGTGTGTGTGTGTGTGTGTGTGTGTGTGTGTGTGTGTGTGTGTGTGTGTGTGTGTGTGTGTGTGTGTGTGTGTGTGTGTGTGTGTACAACAGTATAACTCACCAGGCCCTGAGACAGAAGGCCTGAGGTATGTCTGGGTTGACCATTATCGTTGAACTGAACGAAGCCGAGAGCGATTTGCCCCTAAAATCAGACAGGCGAGCTTTTTTGATGGCGACAACGGGACTCCCAGAGGCATCAAACTTCTCCGCCTGGAGGGTGAAACAAGTCAATAACAGTAATTTAAAGGGAACAATACGAAACAACAGAGGCCAAATCCTACATGGTTAGCGTGTGCCTGCAACTAGACGGTGCCTGAAAGTAGTCTCGGCTCCAGCTTGCTTTAATAATTAGATAACTTACAAGTTCATTTGAAAGTCATTTTCAGACTTCGGCAAAGAGGAAGGATTAGCTCCTGCAGATCGAATGAGCTTAGAGAAGAATAGTGTTCTTTCGTGCTCATTCGAGTTATTTAGCCCCCTGTCTCAAATCTGAGTCTTCAGTCCAAAGTGGTGCTGAAGGTCACTGCTGAAGTGACTTGAATGATCTCAAATTTACAACCCAGAAAGGTCAAATCAAAGAGTTCTGTGTGCATGAACGTCCATGAGGACTTGGATACACATACAGGCGTGGACACATCCAGAAACATTCCAGTCTACGCCACATATTCTTATACTAAACGCCACATTCAGACAAAGAGATTCCAGCTCTTACCTCCTCTCCCCACAGCGTGACTGACACCTCTTTGCCGGTCATATCCATTAAGCTGAGGGCCCTCTTGGAGACGTCTCTGTTGGCTCTAGTGGTGATGCGGGTAACATCTTCTGCACTTTTACACACTCCAATAACATCTAAATGCACAAAATAAATCCTTCACAACTTTTATCTGCAGAGAACCCAGGAGTGGACACATGTTTACAATAAAGTTTTTAGAAAACTAAGTACTTCTGGAAGTTCTCTACATGACTGAAGCACCAATCTGCCCTGAAGTAAGGAGTCACGATCACACAGACGAGACCATAAACCTTTCCGTTATTCCCAGATCACAGCAGAACAAGACAACTGTTGCAACGAAGATTACTCCCATCCCATTATTCCAAATCAAAACCAACACACTCATTTCTTATTTATGTTTTCTGTCACTTTCAAGACCTTAAAAGTCCCTTCAGGCTGACTGAAAAGCTGGAAGGAAGCAAATTACAGGAAGCAAAGGAACAAACTGAAAACGAGGTGCAGTGACAACTTTTTAAAACGTACCTTTTCATTAAACTCCGTAAGTTTATAGGATGTGGCTCCTTTTGATCAAAATAAAGCAAGCAAAACACTGATATACTCAGGATATTTCAAATGCAAATGTGCGTTTCCGTGCGACACAAACAAAACAGAAGAGAATAAATGAGTTACGGCTTAACAGCTGTTTGGAACCTCAGCTTTACACGTACATTTGTTTATTTCCTGACCGTCTCGTCAGCGGGTCAGAACTAGAACAGAAGTAGAGGAAGGAAATCACTGGACCGAATCATAAAACCGATTGTGCAAATCAGCCTTTCTCTCAACTTCATCCTCATGTCTGCGCTTTCTGTTAACCTTGCTCCAAACTCCCTCTGCCTCCCCCCATCGTCAGCGCTCTCTCAGCCTGGCTTAATTCCATTATGATTGAGACGATGTCATCCGCCTATGAACTCCATTATCACAACAGGAACAGGCCGGCGGTTCTCATTACCATCTCATAATCCCCTATTTAACAAAGGAGTAGAGTGTGGGGGAATCAGGGGAGAGAAAACGACGAGTTGACAGATGAGGAAACGCAACGCTGCCCGTCTGTAACCAGAGGAGACACGTTTCCTCAGCTAAAACTGCTCAGTAAATCAGAGATTTGTGAGGTATAGAAATACCTGTACATAATAGATTACATTACATAGGATTATGCTTGTTTTTGTAATTATTTGGAGGCAAAATCAGTATCAAATTACATATTTGATTACTTGCAAAGCCTTGTAGACCAGTGTTTCCCAACCCTGGTTCTCAGGGCACGCTGACCTGCATGTTTTCCAAGTCTCTGCTTCAGCACACCTGATTTCCATTGCCTTCTCAGGAGGACTTCAAGTGCTGCAGATGCCTGTTAATCACTCATTCATTTAAGTCAGGTGTGTGGCTGCAGGGAAACACTGGTTTTTAAAAGGGCAACATGAAAAACATGCAGGACAGTGTGTCTTGAGGACCAGGTTTGGGAAACACTGCTGTAGATATTCAGGATAAAAACTACCAGACAGTTTTGAAATATCCAGGAACCACTTTAACTTTAAAAAGCTCCTATTTTTTCCTGAGTCTGCAGTTGTCTCTCGTAAGAATGGATGTCTTGTGAGTTGTTCTCTGTAGGTATAATCTATAGAAATCCTGTTTTAGAGAGGAAAAGATTGTTAGGGGGAGTGGGAGGCAGAAATCGGCAGGATGAGGAGTCTTACTCATTAATATTCTAATGCAAACAGCTCTCCTCTGATTGGCTGACAGCAACATAACTCTTCTCCTGCCTTTGTTTCCTCATCTTTCTTGGGTAAAAACTGCAAGACTGATGTTTTATCTCCACAGATAATCCAAGTCTGAACGAGTTCCGCCACATTGTGGAGTTGCTAATGCTAATGTTAGCTTCAACTAGCCAAGATGCGCTCTGCTGTGTCCTCGCTGCAAATCCAACACAGTTTTATACGGCCACAAGCCAAAATAGGCGAGTCCACGAATCCTAATGTTCTCTGTGACGTAGAAGAGACAGGCTATTTCTGACCGGATTGTTTTACCGCCCGTTTCCTTTCTGCAGCTAATGCAGGCGATGGGGATATGGCAACCCTATATTAGACCCAATGTTTCCTTCTACGGGAGCCCATGAGGACAAAGCACATTTACTGATTTGTAACATGCGGTTACAAAACTTTCACCATTTATAAACGTTGTTTTACACATTTACCTATTCGCTCGTTGCCAGTGATGAAAGGGAGTCTGATGTGCGGTCATTTTTCTGGAGGATGAACGATCCGACGAAGTACTCGTTCAACAATTGCACCCCCAGGGATTTTTGACCCTAATGGCCATCCATTGGTAAGCTCTTATTCGAACCCAAAAATACCGCTTGCTTGCAATGACTTAGGCATATACCGCCCCCTATCACCAGGGAAAATACACGCAGTCACTTTAAAAGACATTTTTCAGCAAAAATACTATTGCATTGGCTGAATGAAAATCCAGCTACAATCCAGAATGAAAAGTTGTAAGTGGACCTGACAGGAGCTGTGCATAAACTCACAAACATCCAAGGAACTGAAGCAACATAGAGTAGAAGGTCAGAGACAGATTCCTACACAGTGTTTATTGATCAAACTCAATTTTTGGGTTAATCAGTATAATTTCCAAAGTGTGCAGACGTATTTTCAGCAGCTTTAAAAGTTCTCGTTTAAAAGCTTTATCTCTTACCAACAATGGCGTCATTGTCACGGTCTGCCAAATCCTTGATGGGCACAAAGTCGTACTGCATTGTGGGAACGCCCTGGCTATCCTCACATGGCACGATAGACGAATTACTGTTGAGGGTCATCTCGTAGTCGTTATTCAGCTTCATAAACTGCTTGTTGGCCGGTTTCAGCGAAGCCTTCGAGATGTAGTACACCTACGCAGCAAACAGATCAGCAAAGTGCGCCAGCCTTAAAAACTTGGGAAGAACCAAACAAATTCAGACAACTATAGCGGAGTGAACTGGTGATTGCGTTATTAATCCCAGAAAAGAGAGTTACTCTGTTTAAACTAAATCTCTTGAAAAGAAAGGAAAAAAAACAAAAAACCCTGCAGGTCAAACAGAGATGCGGTGTCCCTATCAGCCCCATCACTTCTCTAATTCACCAGAAAATAAGTGCCAGTTGAGAGGGACTCTGCTTAACAGCATAATTTAAACTCAATCTGTCAGGCACACTCCCTCATTTACTCTCCCAAGGCCCCAATATCAACACCACCACCACCACCATGTTCTCCCTCTGCCTCTGGGCTCGTTTCTGTGAATCTTTCTTTCCCTTCTTTCTTTTTCTGCCTTCTTCTGCTTTCATTTAGCACGCAGACATAGGAGCATGAAACTTATGTGAAAAGCTCTCTGGTTCCTCAGAGCCAGTTACACCCCCACACTGTTCTGTCAATACCCAGATCATGAAGGGAATAAAGATTTGTTCCTTTATCTTTGGAGGGCAGGGGGCACAAATTGGAATCGAGTCTGAAACCTGAGCCAGTCTGACTATCAAAACAATGAGCAGAGTTAATCAAGTTCTTCAGCAGGAGCCGAGTGCTTCGAGTCGTGCATGAGGTTTAGCAAAGTTAGGTGTCTGTAATCAAACAGATAAACAGGTATATGCAAATGTTGTGTGTGGAGACGGAAGGAATTTAGGCAGAAACAAAGTCTTGGTCTTGTCATTCCACATCTATATGGCCCACCAAGGAGAGCTGGGCGATATAGCCTAAAACAGGGGTGTCAAACTCAAACTCACACAGGGCCGAAATGAAACTCTGGGACGGAGTCGAGGGCCAAACTTAAAATTTTTTAAAAAGTGACGGCAAATTTGCACATTTTCTTTATCAACATATATGCAATTTTGAACCTTTAAATTTGGAAACAAACTTATTTCTGCATTAACACTGAATGTGGAATAACCAAATTACACACGAGCAAGTCAGTTTTAAATAAAAGGCATCAGTGGTATTCATTACTTGTGGTATAATCAGCATTTCTAAAATCTATTCAGGATTTATGCTTTCTTGTTTATTCATTTTTCTTATTTTTATTCTCCTTTTTTCTCCTGTAATACGTGTCATCGCTGCTGTGACGTCTAGCTTTCCCCACTGAGGAACAATAAAGGCATTTTCTATTCTATTCATCTGTCTGCAGCCTTGCCACTTCCTGTTTACTGTAGGTAAAATCTTTTCTCACGGGCCAACAACAAAATAAAAATATCATTTTATCTTAAATGAAAATGCAACATCTCACCTGTTAACTTTCATGTTTTGGAGCAGAAAAAGAGCATAAAACCTAAATATTTAAAGCTCAGTTTGCTCCACTGGTTAACTGTGATGCTCACCTGTTCCAGCCAGATACCTGCATCATGGGGCTGATCTGAGCTGAGGAGGAGACTCCTGTTGTTTTGTTCATCTTCATCATAATAATGACAACATTAGATGACAACAGGTGCTCACCTTATAGGTTTGTGCTGATGAACATGTCTGAGCAGCTGGACCACGTTGTTGTGTGTCGGGGAGGAAACACGACAGCAGCCACAGAGCCGTGCTGGTTTGAGCGTGCCGCTGTTCGCTGGAGTTACTGTATATCGGCTCTGTCTGGACGTTAGTTGGAAAACTTTCTCTTTCAGTCGTGAACACATTACTGAGCGGCTAAAATCTCCGTTTCTGGGCTTCAACGTCAGAAAACAGCTGAGTGAACTCGGCGCTGAGTGAGAGGAGTGTTTAGTTTGTCTGAGACAGCGGAGCTGCAGACACCGGCAGCAGGCGCTGGAAAAAACAATGGAGGGGCGCGTCGGCTCCACGCTGACGCCGCAAAGCATCATGGGAGTTGAAGTCTTTGCGGTAAAATTGGCCAGCGGGCCAGTTTTAATATATTTTTGATATTTATCTCGCGGGCCACATAAAAATGCTCCGCGGGCCGCATCTGGGCCACGGACCTTGTGTCTGACATATGTGGCCTAAAATCTAAGACCCCACCGTCTTTTGTTCAGAGGTCACCACAAAAAAGAAAAACAAAACAAAGATATTCTAAATCATTTGACATAAATGACATCACACAAGATCGTACGCATTTTTAAGCTTACTTTGGAAGTACTTTATGATTTATTTTAGATTTTATCCTTTTTAAAAACGCGCTGCAGGTTTTCCTTTAGTGGATTTAGAGGCATATGACTTTGAGCGGTTGCACTGGCCAGTGGGCAAATCATTCAACACTTATCATTTTTGTTTATAATTTCCAACAAGCTCTTATCAACTAAAGTGTGGACATGGATGAGTGCCGTGCGCTCACCTTGCCTTGCTCCACTAGAGGGAAAAACTTGTCCATCTCGTTGTTGAAGGCAGTAATCCTGATTTCTCCCTGTTGACCGACACATTTCATTGTATAGATGAACAAAAATAAATATATAAAGTAGTCATGCGTGACATACAGTAAGTAGACATGTTACAGTCAACCTGCTCTACTTACACTCTCATCCACTATCTCAAAGGAGAAGAGCTTGCCCTCTCCTCTGGAGTTATTCCAGTTACGGATGTTGGACTTGTTTGTGACTCTGGCTCTGATAGTCCACCTGGGATCAACGACACAGACACACGTGTGTGGGTGACTCAGTACAAGTGAATTCAGGCGATTTTAGCCAAACAACCAAAACAAATGTTTACAGACATAAACCTGTCAATTATTTACGTTGTAACTGAACACGCTCCACTCATTTCTTTGACTGACAGACAAACAGGGAGACACAGTTAAGAAGTCGCCAAAGACCGGCAGGTTTTAAAAGGTTTTTCTTTATAATGAGCCTCCCAACTCAGTTCCTAACAGACACCAGTGTTAAACTCAAGAGAACAAAACACTCCCAAAGAAACTGGGTGCTCTGAGCTGCTTTTATTAAAAGAGTGAACTAGGTGTTTTACATTCGCCAACTCCTGGACGCATTTAAATTCTGTTTCTTGTGTTTTCAACAACAACCAGCCAAGCTCTGTACTCTGTACAGCAGTGAGCTTTTCTTCCTGGTAATTGTACAGCAGAAAGTACTCCTACCATAACTTTTCCTGCAATTAAATCCCCTATCATGAGAGCAGCCGCTGGTCCAGAATGAGCCCTGTTTCCTGCTCGGTGTGGACAACGCTGCCTCGCTTAGGTTTATGGTAGCAAAAGCAAATTAGAGGAAATGCTTACATGAGTACACAACTCCTCTTCCATTTTTGACCCAAACCTTCAAAGTAGAAGCAGAAGTGCTGAAATCATCAGTTTTTCTCACCAACATCAAAGTTAGAGCACTCATCAGTTTATTACAACACCTAGAGGCACGGTTATCTTTACAGCTTACAATTTCAAGCACATCTATATTATCAAACATGGAGAGTACCTTTACTTTAATCTGTGCAACTATGCCTGGCTCATTCTGTGTTCCTGTTTTTGAGAGTCTTCTTTAAGCTCAGAGACACAAGTTTAATGAAATGAAAAGAAATAAAGAGAAGGAAAACAGCAATAAAATGAAGCCCCGGAGCAGTAAACGTAGGAGTGAAGGAAAACAGGGACAGACTAGGCTGGGTGTTTTCCCAACGGGCCACATAACAGAATCCAAACCTCAGCGGCAGACCATAAAACCCAGCAGTACCTGCCGTACAAATGTCAATTTCTGAGGCAAGATCAGTCATTTCGTTTCATTTCCATGAAAATGGGCAGAATTACACGTGCACACTCAAGTCCAGAGAGCTGCACGCTTCCGTATAAAAAATAAAATAAAAGTGCTTCTACACACACGCATCAACATCCACTTGCAAACATGCCCCACAGTGCTGCTAAGAAATGGCAACAAGAGTGAACTGAAGCCACAACATCAGGGAAAATAGTTTAAATGATGACTGAGCAGTAGAGGGAATATCTGAGGGTGAAATGATGAATGCAAACACAGTTTATTAGGAATGAAGGAACTTGTGTGGAGGTAGGCTCAGTGCCGAGGACAGGGGTGTCCAAACTTTTGGCCAAACCAGGGCTAAAACTGTAGGAGACTGGAAAGTTTGGCTTGCTTTTAGCACCACCTGGTGTCGGTATCAGTTCGAAAAATAAAACCGAGCCGATATTAACAAGATATTTTTTCCATCTCGTCTCCATTTGTTTGTCTGTTTCAGAGGGAGAGGGGGGTGATGTGTAATTGTTTAGTCATGTAGACAGTGAATGAAATCATCTCAGAAGCGTAAATGTGTGTGGTGTGTGTACATATTAACGTAAATTCAGCTTTAGCCATTTTCATTTGATGTAAAATCTGCCGATTTTAGAAGCAAAAATGTCAGGATATCGATATCGGCAAATATCGGTTATCGGCCATAACACTGATCCTAATATTGGATATCAGTATTGGCCCAAAAACTTCATATTGGTGCATCACTAATCTAAAGCATTTGCTAATTTTACGAATTCTGGCCAAGCAACTTTTGCTTTCCCCGTTGGCAGATTTATCAGATTTATTTTTACTCAAATCCAGAAAATATGGATCATATTTAGGAATGTTTACCTTAAAGCCATTTTCTACATGAGACCTTTCTTTTTACTAAAAGTAAGAGAAAATATCTAAAAATGAGGCAATTTTTTCTTTTATTGAAAATCTGATTTTTCAGTAGAGTCACAATAAATGGAAATTTCTCTGCTGATTTTTTTATTTGTACTTTTCCAATTTAAGTATCCTATCATCAAAACTGAACATTTAGTTGAAGATTGATTATGAAACAATTTAATAAAAAGCTATTTCTAAAAAAAATAATACCTCCGCAGGGCGTTTAGTGTGTGCTGAATGAAACTATAGTATTTCCTTTAAAAGCTATATTTTAATTAAAAAATAATCAAAAGTTATTTTGACACTGGGTTTATTTTTACATCTACCAGGCAATAGAGGGCACCATTGCAGGTTGCCAAACAGTCCACTCAGCAAAGCAAGGCTGGCGCCGTGAAAAATGGCGGACTCGGCAAATCAAGCAACTGCTTCTGAGTATAGGAAGATGTCATCATCCTTCTCTGAAGCGGAGCGACCATAAAAGATCCAAAACCCTAACCCTAGATGAAGCCTACAGCAGATGGACCCAAATAAAACATTTCGCGTATCGGCAGCAAACCTGGTATCCCGACGGCTGGAAAACTTGTTCTACTGTTGCAACTACAATCTCCACACACTAGATGTCGCTTTGGTATTCATGTTCCATATTCCACCTTTAAAAAGTGTTAATTCATGAAATTCAATTAAGGGCTGCATGTAATCATTTGCACTTTGGACATTTTTGGTGCAGGAGAAGTATCCGAAATTGAATTTACACAGCAACTCACCCAAAAAAAAACAATAATGGAGAAACAAATGCTAAGACCTACTTGCTTTGGTAGGGGTTGAGCATGGCAATAGGAATCACTTTTGCTGGTGAGACTGGAGAACTGCAAGAAGCTTTCATGGGCGAGGCCATCGTGGGTGATGCTTTCATGGGTGACATCATCATGGATGGGGCTTCCATGGGTGAAGCCATCAGGGGTTCAGCTTTGATAGGTGAGACTTTCATAGGTGAGGCTTTCATGGGTGAGGTCATCATGGGTGAGGCTTTCATGGGTGAGGCCATCAGGGGTTCGGCTTTCATTGGTGCTTTTCCAGTGAAATCTTTGCCTCTGCCTTTAGAAGGAAACAGAGTAAGACAGGTTAAAAGGGTGCAGATGAAGCAACTGAAAACTAACCGTGACAGTTGTGCAAATTTTCTTGCTGCAATTTAGTCAAAAAATGACCCTCATTATGCCTAAATGTGCTTAAAATTCCCTCTCGGTGACCAGATATCATTTCCAGCTATTTCTGACTTTCAGAGACTTAATTGAGAAACAACTGAGAAGGAGTCTAGAGTATTTTGAGAGATAATCTCTTGCAAATCGTTTCAACTTAAACTTTCAGCGACAGAGAAACAAGGCCCTGCAAATCAAATGAGCAATTGAGACATTTATAAAAGGTTTCGCGACATTTTTGAAAACTCCCCTACAAACGCCATTCGCAAGTATCACCAGGATTGGCGGGCTTGTTGAAATCTTGGGTTTAAATGTTTGATTTGGAACAAGATGCAATTTCATCATGCTAGAGAGACAGAATGTGTGTTAAATATCTGGAAAACATGTAATCGTTTTTCTTTTTGAGATACAATGGGACACACTAAGTTGCATTTGCATGTGGAACGTAAAAAACTCTTCAACCCCCACCATCTGCATTAGCTGCTGAAAGGAAATAGGCGGCAAAACGTTCAGGTCAGTAAAAGCCACACAGATCTACGTCACAGCTATAATTGGTATTGACGGCTCCGGCCACCTTGGCATGCAGCTGCCCAAAGGAAGGCAGTGTTGATTTAGTGGCCAGGAGAAAGCAGAGTGCAACTCAGCTAGTAGAAGCTAACCATTAGCATTAACAACTCCACAACCTAGTAGAGGATATTCAGGCTTATGTTATTCATATAGACAACTCATCACAGCTGACAAGGTGTTTGCACATCATGGATATTAAAGATTAATGACTAAGATGTAACCCTATCATTTTCCACCCCCCATTACATTGAAAAACTTTTACCCCTGAAACAAAAGCACAAGAGGTTTTTTCCACATAAAATGACTTAAATGGCATTCTTTTAAACTAGAGACAGTCAATGAGATCTTTAAATCGAAATCACATGCTACAAGATGTTTTTCCACTTTACAATAGCTGGAAAAATCCGACCAAACATGTAAACAAACACTCTATTTTCAGTTTTGATTTTAGTTTATTTATAAGGCGCCAAATCACACGAGTCACCTCGAGGGACTTTACAAAGTAAACATTCCAGTTGAACCTATTTATCATTGAAAGTTTCCTATGTAAGGAAACCCAGCAGACTGCATCGAGTCACTGACTACCAGGTTGTTATTCATTGTAAGCATCTCCGTACATTTAAAATGAAACATGTATTGATCGTACTAATCATTTGATCTCCTGTTAATAAAGGAAAAGGCCCGAGAGTTTTTAAATGTCCCCACAGATCTCTCTCTGTATATCTGCCTTTCGACTAATATCACTTTGTGCCACTTGTAAAATTGTTTTCCTTCTGTAGGTATGACCACTAATCAATTATTAATCTTATAATTATGAAGTCTCATAGGTAAAACAGGAAGTAGCAGGTATCGGTGTCATTTGAGTAGCTAAAATTGAACACAATAGTCTTAATTAAATTTATGAAATAGCTTTTTTTTTGTTTCGATCAAATAAGGGTAAAGACAATTTCATAGGCCTCTTATCATCTAGAAATTCTTGCAGGAAAGACAACATGACATTCACCAGGCACTGGAAAGGTAAGATATCCCTAACCTAGCGTCAGGCATTGAACACCTTCCACTTAGAGTCATATAGGGTCCTAGTGGAGGGGGCCCTAGTGTTCATAATGGTTCGAAAAACAGCCTTGGACAGTTCTGATTACCTTAACTGCAACACTCAGGGGCCAGGGCCAAAGGGCCAAGCATCCTGGGTGTGGATGGAAGATTGAGCTGCCTGCCAGGGACATTAGGGCCCTGCAGGTGGCAATTCCCAAGGTTGTGCCCTCCAGGAGCTGAAAAATGTCTGCCAACCAATGCATAGCTGACCAGTTAGGAGCCACCAAAACGAGTATGTGGCACTGAGCCATCAGCAAGGCGGGCGGTATCAAGACTACTGGGGGAAGTGCGTTAAGTAGCTCCCGCGGCCACTCATGCGCCAGCGTGTCCACGCCAAGTGGAGCATCTTGGTCGCACAGGAAAAAGAACAAGCAACACTGAGCATTCTCCTTGGAGGCAAACTGCTCCACCTCGGCTCGACCAAATCAGGTCCAAATCTGAGAGACCCCCCAATCCTGACTGGCTAAAATCTGCTGTAACCACTTTTCTCAAGAAAACCATCGTCCAAAGCCAATCGTCCACATAAGTGGCCAGCCGAATGCCCTTCTCTCTCTCTCAGCGGGGCGATCACTGCCTCTGTATACCTCCCAAACATCATCGGGCTCAGCGAGAGGCCAAAGGCAAGCATCAAAACAAATTTTAACAAAGGGAACTGGCATTTAACAAGAAAAATAAAGTATCATTAGCTGCAAGTGGGAGGGATTATAAATTTTTACTTTTGATAAAATGAAACAAAATCTAATATGTAACAAAGTCAAACTATTCAACACTTTAATGCGTGGAACTGGACAACAATAATACTTTTCCTTTCTTTCTTGGGTAATTTATAAATGCTCGGATTTAAAAGATGTACGTAAAAACAAATAAATGTAACCTCCATAATAAGTTGTGGCTTACTTGTTCCAGAAACAACAGCTAACTCTTGTTCTTTTTGTGTAACACATCAAATGCCAGAAGACAGTTGGGTCCGGCCCACAGACTCATATAGTGCCATCTCACCTCCCACCATAAAGCAGCATCAGCCCCATCGGTATGATTCACACAAAACTGTTGTCAGCATACTTGTGATGCTGCGCATGATTTTTTTGGCATAAATGGTCCACCACACTGATCTACAGCATTCAGGTGGACGATGTCAGGGATAAAACTAACAAGAGACCTCTCCGCTGATTTAAGCTGCTGCTCTCCAGCATGACAAATAGTCATCTGTGGGTGTGTGCTTGTGAGGAAACACACTCAGGAACCTGACAGATTCAACAGCAATTTTCAGGTTAAAGGTAATTAACATCAATATTCATACACATGCTATCCACGTCTAAGAGGAAGGAAAACTAGGACGGTAGGAGGTGAGGATGAGTGGTGGACTAAAACCAGAGGAGCATACAGTTTTATCGACCCATTTTTTGTGATCATGATCAACGCAGGCTGCTAATATGTTTGCCAATAACACATGAGGTTCGCGATGAGAGTATTTTAAAAAGAAAAACTATACGCACAAGAAAAAAGCTGAAAAATCGGGTGAGGGATACGGTGTAAAAGTCTGTGTTTGAGAGGATAAGAACAAAAGAAAGCTGAAGAGAATAGTTAGTGATGAATAACGAATGTTTTATTTTTAATCACACCTCAGCTAATACAGATCTATGTGGAATTTAAATCTGCAGAGTTTGAAGGTGGTCCATTTCAGTGATAGCTGCTGATGAATATTTCAATGGAAGCACAGATGTGCCTATGACGACTGCTTCTTGACCTCTGACTTTACACCCACTGCTGGGAAACTTTTAAGACATTCTGGATATTAATACTGGAGCTTATGAATTGATAACGGAGCTTAAACAACCTTAGATGTGGGAAAACACCAGAATTATTATTTTATTTGAGGAAATCTTTGACAACGTCGTTGCAGTTTGTGGACACTGGAAGGTTTTTAAAGGAACACGAAGAGCTGAGAGGTTTTTTTATTTACAGGTAGACTTCCTTGTGTCATTGCTGAATTAATCTTGATGAAAGCGGGAGAAACTAGGGCTGCACTATATTAGGAAAACCTGCGATGCGCGATAACAGTCAGATAATTAATACTGCGGTACAGTTACCATGAGAGCTGACAAAAGATAGACAATAAAATTGTTCAATTACACAGTTATTGAGCTGAAATGTATGCAGCGGTGGCTGATAGTTATGATCTTGAACATATTCAAGGTCGATAAGAGAAATATTTGGCCTTTATTTAGATACTGAGTTAATTATAGAGGTGTGCAGAAACAGCGTAATGGTTTTGTAAATACTGAAAATTGTGTACGCTTTTCTTTTAACAAAAATACCCGGTTACTGGTTTTCTATAACAATATGAAGCAATAAGAGCTACCGGAGCAGCAATTATAAGGCATTTCTTTAAAAAAAAAAAAAAAAAAAAGAACAATCACGTCATTAATTATAGAATTTATGAGGAAGCTGAGCTGCTTCACATTATGAGTGACAGCACCCTCGGATAAAAGACTGAGCATCGATTCCCCTCTTTTTGTTTTCAACCTTTTATCTCAGCACTGTGGCATCTAATGAATACCAACGTAGACCATCTGTAAACCCCCCCACCCCCCCACGCTGTACAGAATGTAGCCATTGAACATTCCAGGGTTTTCTTATCATGTCAGACTCTCGTATTGAGCTTACATACCTAGAAGTAGATCTAAAAAAAAAACCACGCAATTATAGCAAAGTTTTCTACAGGAATTTCAGTGATTCCTTCCATGTCTTCCTGCCGGGAGTAGCTAAGGTACAACTGAGAGATGCAAGTCAGCCAAGATAGCCAGTAGGCCTGTTTCCACTATCTGACCCTCTGGGTAATATTGCCAGGGTATGCGTGTCACCATTTTGCTGTGTCTTCACCGCGTCTGGAAATAAGCGAGAACCCGTATTAGGGTATGTAGGATAGGGTTCGGTAGAGTCGCTGGGCGGGACTTGTGGTCAACTCATGACAATTGGTCGTAACTCAGTGGGAAATTATATCGGCAGACATTTTAATAATGGAAAAGTTGCTGGTGAGGCAAAATGGACGTAAAACAAAATAAGTAGTGTTAGTAGGGCTGGGCGATATATCGAAAATGTATCGTTATCGAAATTCCTGACTTTTATCGTGATAAGTTTTCCCACGTCAATAAATTAGATAATAAAAAAAGAAAAGATGTGTGTTGGTTGGCAACATTCATGTCCCTTTAAGAAGCTGCACCACCTTGAGTCCTGGAAAAACAGTGACTCTGTATTACATGTGACAGCCCCATCTAGTGGACAACTTTTGTCTCTGCGCATACCTGTAGTCATCATCCATTTATCGTTATCAAGGTGAAATCCTCAATATATCGTGATATTGATTTTAGGCCATATCGCCCAGCCCTAAGTGTTAGCGCTGCTTTAAAATGGTAATTTGTTAACACCTAAATCCCGCCACAAAAACGCCACTTTCTGGTCTCCTACAGAGTGCATAAAAATGCGGATTATTATTGTAATTGAACACCGCTTTACATCACACAGCCACTCGTAAAATGCTGCTTACTTTGAAAGAACAAAACTTCTAATGTTATTAATGTCTAAGGCTTTGGACGCCTTTTGGTGCCGATCAGTGACGTCCTTCAATACGGAAATGGTCACGGTACTTTGATATCTTCCTCAAAGGGACGACTGTGAATGGAGACACAACTGACCAAGCCTTTAAACTGGATGCAAAAGAATTGCATAATGTTCGCAAATTGTAGTACGCAGTAATGTGTTGCCATTATAGTTGATCGGTGCGTTTTCGCCGGCCAAGAATCGTCAGGCTTTGGACGAGTCCCATAAGTGTAGCGACAAGTAGCTCTGCTAAATCTGCCCTTGGAGTGTAATTTTTACGCATTAAACTTCTAGAATGCTTCGAGCTCAGTAGTTTGGATTAGGCAAGACAGGAGGGTAAACACAATGTAAAACATCTGGAAACTTTCAAAATAAAAGCCAAGTGCAGATTTCCACTCATTACCCATGAAACCTTTGTAGCTAAGGTCAACAGAGCAGAAAGTTAACCACGTACCTTATTGGATACATGGTGCTGTTTTTCTCCTAGCTAGTTATCACATGAACTGCCAGAATCACGCGTGGTCGCCAGTCCTTTCCTGACCTCACAGGTCCGGCTGCATGGAACGCTTACGAGCTCGGGTGAAACACGTCTATTACGTTGCTCACTGCTTATGCATCTAGTGAAAAGCCAGGGTGAGAGGGCCGAGCCATCACATTTTTCCCATCACCTTCCCCTCTCCCAGAAATGTCCCAGAACTCAGCCAGTACAAACAGCTATTGTTGCTCGTAGACTGAAATCTATAAAGGAACCTGAACTCAGACCTCAGATAAATACTGCAGTCTCCCAAATCAGTTAATCACCCACAACTCATAGGAAACAGCTGGATTGTGGCATTTAGCAATTGTGTTGACATTTACAAAATGCAATTTAGAAAGTTATTGAAAAATAATCAAAGCCTTCATTAAATTCAATCACAACATCCGGTTTGTTTTTAGCAGCAAAGAGCAGTGAGGCACCAGCAGAACAATTAGATAGAGCAGCGGGTTCTCTGCATCTGGATCAGAGGCTGTAACGAGGAAATGCAGAAACTCATCTTTGCTGAGTCAAATTAGTGGACTTCTCATGTCTACAGGGGGAATCAGTCCTCAGCGCAGTACTCATAAAGCCATGAACTGGAGGAGCCATCAGCCCACACACGCTCCCTCAGTTACAACAAGCACACAGAGACACACCCACCTACGCTTGCACAAACAATGTAACATGCCCTCATTATCCACCCACATGCTTACATCTTCTATTGAGACCACTGGGCAGGTTTCTGCTGCAGAACAAAATCCGTTGGTGCTGATAAATGAAAGGCTAAGCTAACAGAAGAAAAACACAACATGTGACTTGTTATGGCATAAGGCAAAGTAACAGGAAAAAGGCAGCTTCAGATCAGCTAGTGATACTGTGGTCACTTAGCAACCATCTAGCATATGAGTTCAGTCTCTTCGATTTTGTGTTTAAAGAAAAGGAGTTAAGATAACAGAACTGTGCACTTTGCATTTATGTGTGGCTTTTTTATTTATTTATTTATTTATTTACCAGAGAGCATTCAAACCCTGCTTCATCAAGTTCTTCATCACAACAGATGCAATATACCAGAGGAATCTAAATCCTTTCATTTTTCTCCGAACAGTTTATTAAAAGCGATCTTTAAGATTAAAACACTTAAAAAACAGCAAATCTTTGTGTTTCTGAGTCAGAGTAACAACATTTAGGAGAACATCCAGAATGAAGGTGTCAGAATATTCACTATAAGGGACGGTGGCTCCCTCTGTTGGCTTTGGGATGCAAAAAACAATTCTTCGGTATTATGAAAATGCTACTCCACAGTTGTCTAAACCTCCAAACTCTACTTTAGTTTAGAACGTATAATTTAAAGCTAATTATGGTTTTACTTTTTAAATCATGAAAATACTGCATCACAGTAATATACAGTACAAACAAACTTCTTGTTTGTTTTAACTCTGAAGGACCTGTGGTGACACTTGAGTCATATAATTAAGTTTGACAACCCCAAGTAACGTCCTATTCTTGCATATACCAAAAATGATTGGGCTTGGGCTCTTAAGGGTTAAGGGCATCTCAGAAACAAAATAAATGCCATGTCTTTATTGTTTCTATTCTGGTAATCGTTTCGGGTCATTTTTTTGTTAACATTTCTATTCACACTCGTATTTTTTATATTTAAAACCTTTCAATTAGAAGATAACCCCACATCAACATTTCGTTTTATCGTTTTTGAGCACCGTCACTCTAAATATTAAATATTTTACTTCATTTAATAATCATTAAGAAGTTTTTAAAAAAGCTTTTATAAAAAGACAAAATGACCTTAAACTTGCTAACTGTTCACTCACCACTGCCGTTCCTATAAGAGGGTCCGGGTGCCTCAGTAGGCAGAGATGATGCTGGTTCTGATGCGGTTGATGACACCTTCTGTGGAGATGACACCGACTCTGCAAATGAATAAAAATAAGACGCAATGACCCATCCTGCAGCTGATGATGCTGTCTTTAAAAAAATAAACATTTAGTCAAATGATACCATCTGAAAGGCTGAATGGAACTGGATTTCCAATCTTTTCTCCAGTTTCCTCTGCTGACTGCAAGACCTCCATGTCCACTATGACAACCACATGTCTGCAATAACAAGAACAAAACATAAGAACTAGACTGAGATTTTATTTTTGCATGATTGCTCCTGCTGAAACAGCATCTTGATCTGAAATGGTGATAAAATGTACACTCACAGACATAAAGGAGAATAAAAGCAATAAACATAAAGTAAGGAAATTTTTTCTCAAAATGTAAAACCAAAATTAACAAAAACAAACTGAATGCATCAAGAATGGTTTTAAAAGTTATTATTATTATTATTATTATTATTATTATTATTATTATTATCATCATTAAATTAAGCCCTATTCTTTTATTATTCATCACTGAAAGTTGAAAACTGTTGGTACCCTTCGGTCAACGTCAGCCTCCTGGTGTGCTTGGAATGGAGCGAAAACTGCAACCAACACTCTGAATGAGCCCTAATCAGCTGATGTGAGGACTACTGTTTTCCATCTCAGACCAGGGCGAGTTTACAACAACAACAAACAATGGCTCATATTGAACCCAAGCAGCTGAGTGGGGTGTGAAATTTTCTCAAATGAATTAAGGATGAGATAATCAGTCTGAAACAAACAATTATTTGTTGATTCATCTTTGCAAGGAGAACATCGCGTATGCATTACAGAAGTATGGTCTAACTAAAGCTAATCTTTATACCCCGACTTCCTCGCTTACTCATAAGGTGTTTTACTCTCACCTTGTCACAAGAACAGACCCAAAACTTTATGAGACACACAGGAAATAGTATAGAAGTCAAGGATATAGGACGATTCAAGGATCTATACCACCTGTATCCTCAGCATGTGCATGCATACTGATATAATTCAGAATGTAAACAAGATAGTAAACATTATGTTTTATTAAAAAGCTAAAAAAAATAATAATTGTGCTCAATTATTTTAGAACCAGAAATGAAAAAAGAAGCTTGTTCATAAATGATGAAGAATAAGAAAGGAAGGATTAAGGGAAGGAACCCATACCTGCCATCGGACAACGTGGAACTGGTGGTCTTCTTTAACTTACACACACAGAGCGGAACCAGGAGATCCTCCTCAACCAGATGGTGCAGCTGGGTGGCCAGTAGGAAGGCTGAACACACAAACATCAACATATTTCACATGATGGGAACTTCTCGGCTCTATTGAGCTGCAAACTTTCTTGGCTTTGCTTTGTTTGTTTTTGGTACTGGTGCAAATGTAACCCAGAAGCTAGAACCTTAATGAGGTATTAACTAATTGGCTTACTAATATGATCCATCCTCAATTTAGATAAAATATAAAATATAAATTAAGGAAATTAACAATACTAATTAATAGATATCTAATTAACTAATAGATAATTTCATAATGAATTATTGGAAGGGTGAATAACTAAAATAACGAGTTTAATATTAAACATCGGTTAAAACAAGAATCTTGAACATCACTAACAGAAACAGAAGAGGAAAGCTGTATACTATTGGTCCAGGTGGGAATCTGAAATTTCATTGGCTGAGAGAAATAAGTCCCGCCTCCGCGAAATAAAACCGTGCGACGCAGCTGAGCGAGAGGAGAGACAAACGGCTGTGCAGCACGCAGATACAGAAAGCAAAGACTGAGCGGTTAGAGAGAGAGAGAGAGAGAAAAAAAAACAACGGTCGAGGCCGTGAAGAACCCTGATTTGGGTGCCGCATAGATAGAGGGAGAGGCGGACTTGACTCCTTCTAATAAGAGCTAGGAACTTGGAACCAACGCGGTGAGTAAAGAAAAAAGAAGAGAAAAAGCTAACGATGCAACTTAAAAAAAAAAAGGAAACTTAAATAGCTTATCAAATTAATTCCATTCTTATAGATTTGTGTGGAGACGACAGAGTGAACCAATCCTCTGTAGGAGGGAACCGTTGGAGCGCGTTGGTGAGTGAATGAGATTAAATTCAGTAAATTATTAAATTCAAAAAGCTAATTACAGCAACCGAGGTGACAGCAGTGGGCTGCTAGACGTTAGATCCCAGGAGTTAACATCTCAAACTACCAGTTAACGGTGGTAGGGCATATAGGAGTTAACGGCTCAAACCGCCAGTTAACGGCGGTACGGCATATGGGATTCCCAGGAGTTAACGGCTCAAACCGCCAGTTAACGGTGGTACGGCCTAGATGTACAAGGTCCTCAGGGGCGTTATAGCTAACGCCATAGAATTAGCAATGCGTCCCTTAACCAAACATTTAATAATAAAAAAAATAGATAAATAAAAATAAATAAAAGCTAACTGATTAGGGAGGAATTATTTTACAAAGGTGGACCAAAGGACCAGAATTTATATTTTGTTTAATTTTGTTATAGAAAATTTTATTTATTTATTTATTTATTTATTTGTTTGTTTATTTATTTATTTATTTATTGTGTTACAGATATACAAGGTGTCACAATGCTGTATAGAAACACAACTAAATGTATCCTTGTTGTCATGAATGTATTTCTTGTTGAATAGTGTAGAGTAATAGAATCTAACTGAGCCTATTGAGCTGAACAATTGTTGTCATATGTAATTATATTTCCAGAGCTACTGAGAATTATTTTAATAGACAATCAAATTGATGTTATGTTAGTTGAACTGTGAACCCAAACATGATTGGCTATGCCAATAGAGTGAAGCATTTGTTTAAGTCTGTAAGACTTTATGCTGTGATGTGACGAGAAGGGTCGATGCCAACTCGCTAACAGTCCTGTTGTTTACAGGCTGGGTTTTTTTTTTTCCTTGGGTTTGATCCCGACTCCTACGATCACTCACTTGGAACGAGAACTGGATTTCTTCCTGACGAGGGAGATGGCGAGCCTTAACCACTGAACGAACCAGGACATCTCAAGTAACTGAAGAGCAGACTGCTCTCTTCTGTGAACAATCTCAACAGTGCGGTAGGAAAAAATCGCACCACCGGACTCTGACTTTCACCCCAAGCGTGGGGATTTGACTTGACGCCGGCTGACTTGTGACTCATATGATCAAATCTCATACCGACCATTTTACTATTGTCGATTGTTTTCATCTGTTTTTGTGTGTTATCTTTATGTGTTATATTTCCCATTATTATTAAAATTTAGTATATAAACCGTTTCATGCTATACCCGTGACTCCAGTCATTCTTAAACAACCTCCAATTCTCCCCGAACCTAATTATTGGCCCATTTGTTTATTTTTTCTTTTAATTATCTTATTGTATCCTGTAATCCGGTTACATAAAACTTGGCGAGCCAGCCAGGAGAATTGTAGAGTTGTTACCTTAGCTAACCATTGACTGACATCATAAGAGTGCCTGGAGGTCACAGTGGTTTGCCATTTTGGCATTATTGGTACTTTTGAGTGTTTTAAAATGGAAGTTGTAAAAACAGAAAAGGTCAAGGTTTCAAATGCTGTTTTAATCAGTGGGTTAACTGATACAGACCTTGATAACGAAGTCTTTGGGTTTATGGAAGGATTCGGACCAGTTAACAGGCGCATTAAGTTACCAAACTGTGATCAGATTATTGTGGAGTTTCAACATGAAGCCACTGTTAAGGAATTAAAGAAACAATGTTTACCCTATGACAAACCTTGTACTAGGAACCCAGATGTTTTCTTCCATATTCAAGACCTAGCCAGCGCGTACAGTCTAGAAACTAGCACATCTGCCACTGATGCCTATCTGTCAGAGCTCAGGGACATAGCTGCGCGTAGCAATCAATCATTTAAAGACCTTCTAATGGAGGAACTGGCAAAAATTGGGGAATCTTTAGGAAGGGATACCCATGCATCTGAACCAGTGACTGAACCAGAGCCAATGCTCCATAGTGACCAAGTTACATATTCCCTGCCTTTAACACCAGAAGTTAACTATATGAACAACTCAAAGGACAATTGTCCACCTACAGAGACTGGAAAACAAAACCCTTGCATTCCACCAAATCTTTTAAACACACCTGAGGTTCAGCGAGTTATTGTGGAACACATTGTTAAAAGCAGTGAGGTTATCCCTCCGCCTACTTCACAATACAGACTAAAACCGTTCTCAGGGCGAGTTCCACACCCTTCTTTTGAAACTGACTATGATACTTGGCGTAGTAGTGTAGTGTTATGCATAAATGATCCTTCACTCACCAAGTCCCAAATTGTACGAAGAATCGTGGAGAGTCTGTCAGCCCCAGCAGCGAGCATCGTTAAAGCTCTTAGTCCAAAATCCGACCCGGAAACGTACCTTGAACATCTCGATTCAGCTTACGCAGCTGTCGAAGACGGCGACGAGCTCTTTGCTCGCTTCTTAAACACAAACCAGGACAGTGGTGAAAAACCTTCCGATTACTTTCAGAGGTTATACACCTTGTTAAACCTAGTTATTCAGAGGAATGGAATTTCCTCCAGTGACGCCGACCAGCAGCTGCTCAAGCAGTTTTGCAGAGGCTGTTGGGACAGCTCGCTGATTTCAAACCTGCAACTCGAACAAAAGAAAGACAACCCGCCTCATTTTACAGCACTTCTCCTCAAACTGCGCACTGAAGAAGACAAACAGGCTACTAAAGCAGCACGCATGAAACAACACTTAGGGGCACAACGAACTAGAGTGTATTCAAATGTGCAAACAACATGCTCTCAGAGTAAAAACACTTGTGAACTGGAAATAGATGATAACTGTGATGACTTACGCAAACAAATCGCTGAGCTCAGGAGCCAAATTGCACAGCTTAAGGTTAACAACACAGATAAAAAGGCAAAGAAAACTCAAAAAGAGTCAAAACCCCGTGTGGGGACTAAAATTCCAGATGAGCCCAAACAGATTCAGCAGATAACAGCAGTGGTGCCCAGACCAAAGCCTGGATACTGTTTTAAGTGCGGAAAAGATGGGCACATAGCTTCTAGCTGTAGCAACGAGCCAAATCCAGCACTAGTTGCAACTAAAAGACTTGCTCTTAGACAGAAGCAGCGCGAGTGGGAGATGTCAAAGCCAATTGCTCAGTCTCCTCCTTTAAACCGGTAGAAGCTCCTATCGTGGGACAGATAGGTGCTAAAGTAGAACCAAGTCCCTCTAAGGAAAGGACAGAGAGACTTTTTTGCAAGCCAGTTCATGCTCATTCAGTGCCAAAACTTCCCAAAAGATTAGTGGGTGGGCGATGCACAGCTACAGTCTCAGTTAACAGTGTTGAATGTAATTGTTTACTGGATTCAGGGTCCCAGGTAACCACCATTGCCAATTCTTTTTACCAAGAACACTTACCTGACCTCTCAATTAAACCCATCAGTAATCTGTTAGAAGTCGAGGGCGCAAACGGTCAAGCAGTTCCTTATTTAGGATACATAGAGATAAGTGTCACATTTCCAAAAGAGCTCGATCAGTCTGGACTTGAGTTACCTACCCTTGCGTTAGTGGTTCCGGATATAAGCTCAAACTCTGATACACCACTACTCATTGGCACAAACACACTCGATCCTTTGTATGAGCAATTGTCTGCCAATAACTTACCTGATTCCAAGGCACTCTCTTATGGGTACCAACACGTGCTAAAAGCCTTAGCAGTCAGAAAAAAACAAAGCAAAGATGGACGAGTTGGTGTGGTGAAGCTTCGAGGGAGAACCCAAGAAGTTCTCCCTGCAAATAAAAAACTGTTACTAGAAGGGTTTATGCAACCCAGCCAAAACAAGCATGAGCCTTATGCACTCATTGAACAACCCACCAATGGTTCTCTACCAGGGGGTATAATTGTAGACTGTTGCCTCATTTCCTTACCTTCACATGGTCCATACAAAGTACCTGTTGTACTAAGAAACGAAACTAACCATGACATCACATTACCCACTAACTGTGTGATCGCTGAGTTAGTTAAAGCCGATCGTGTTATGCCATATCCAGAACCTGACAAAAGTGATCAGAAAGTACTTGCGGCGTGTAGTTCGCAGCAACAGACTTCACCTTCAAACCCTCCTCTCAGTTTTGACTTCGGTACTTCGCCCTTGTCCGAAGAATGGAAAGGGAGGATCACCAACAAACTTAACACTTACTCCGATGTGTTTTCGCACCACGATCTTGATTTTGGTCATACACAACAGATAAGACATCACATCAACTTAAAAGACGAGACCCCATT